CCATTTGCAGCCAACAGTCTTCATGCCCTTAGGCAACTTCATTAATTCCCAAGTCTGGTTTTTATGAAGATATTCAATTTCCTCAGCCATAGCAACAACCCAATGTGCAGACTCTTTACATGTGACAACTTCTAAATATGTGGAAGGTTCTTGAACACCAAACTCCTCTGCTATAGTCAGTGCATAAGCCACCAAGTCTGCATACCCATATTTTTGAGGGGGTCTAATTTGCCTCCTCTCCCTTCCTGTTGCAATACTATAATCTTGTTGCTCCTGTGGATTATCACCTGATCTAGAAGCAGGCAAATCTGAAATAGATTGAACTGGAGTACTTTCAAGTACATTCTGTGAAGCTTCTACCTGTAGCTCCACCTCCTTGCTATAATCATGTTCTTTCCTTGTAGAAACTACAAACTCCTTCCTCGAATGAAACATGGAAGATTCATCAAATACAACATCTCTACTGACTATAAACTTAAGTGATTTAGGATCAGAACACCACAATCTATATCCTTTCACACCATTAGCATAACCAATAAATATGCACTTCTTAACCCTAGGCTCAAGTGTACCATCATTCACATGACAATAAGCAGTGCAACCAAATATTTTTAAATCAGAATAATCAGCAAGAGTACCAGACAATACCTCATGTGGAGTCTTCAACTCAATAGCAGTGGATGAAGAACGATTAACCAAATAACAAGCAGTGTTGATAGTCTCAGCCCAAAAATCTTTATACAATCCTATATTAAAAAGCATACAACGTGCTATCTCAAAAAGAGTTATATTCATCCTCTCCGCAACTCCATTTTGCTATGGAGTAGACCGGACAGTACGATGCCTAACAATGCCTTCATCTTTGCAAAATTCATTAAATTCACCTCCACAAAATTCCAAACCATTATCTGTTCTGAGACGCTTGACTTTCTTGCATGTCTGTTTCTCAATCAAAGTTTTACATTGCTTGAAAGTCCCAAAAACATCACTCTTGCATTTCAGAAAATATACCTAAACTTTTCTTGAATAATCATCAATAAAGGTCAAAAGAAACCGATCACCACCCTTAGATGGAACCTGAGAAGGACCCCAAAGGTCTGAATGAATATAATCAATTGTACCTTTAGTCTTGTGAATAGATGTACTGAACTTGACTCTGCACTATTTCCCAAAGACACAATGCTCACAAAAATCAAGTTTCCCAATTTCTTGTTTGCCAAACAAACGTTGTTTACACAAGACTTCCATGCCCCTCTCGCTCATGTGACCCAAACGCATATGTCATAACTGGGTAGTATCTGAATTTGAAATTTTTGAAGATGACACACCAGTTGCACTAATCACAGTATCACCATGAAGAACATAGAGGCCATTAATTTTTTTACCTTTCATCACAACCAGGGAACCTCTACAAACTTTCATAACTCCACCTTCAGCAGAAAACCTACAACCAATGGAATCGAAAGTACCCAAGGAAATTAAATTCTTCTTTAATTCTGGAATATGTCATACATCTGTCAAAGTTCTCACAACCCCATCATGTGTCTTAATTCGGATAGTACCTATTCCAACAGTCTTGCAAGCAACATTATTTTCCATCAAGACTGAACCACCATTGATTAGCTCATAGGTGATAAACCAATCCCTATTAGGGCACATATGATAGGAACAATCCGAATCAAGAATCCATTCATCATTAAAACGTCCATCAGAGACTATAAGGACATTATCTGAACCATCAGATGTATCTTCTGCAATACCAGCGACACTAGAGGAATTGAAAGGATTTAATTTTTTCTGTCCCTCTTTATTTTTCAACTTAAAACAATCACGCTTATAATAACCAATTTTATGACAATAAAAACATTCAACATTATTCTGTTTCTTCCTAGATTGTGATCGATATCCAGCTTTTCCTTTTTCTTTATCTAAATTTCTTTCAATGGATCGACCTCTATTATTATTAAAGGAATTATCATGATGACCCTTCACAAATAAACCTTCGGCTTGACTATCACTACCCTTACTATTCAATTTAGTACGCAACTCCTTAGAATTCAAAGGGGATTTCACATTAACTAAAGAGATTGAGTCTCTCTCATAGAACATCGAATTAACAAAATTATCAAACGAATCAGGCAGCGAGCATAACACAATCAGGGCTTGATCTTCATCCCCAATTTTAATATCAATATTTTTTAAGTCAATAATAATTTTGTTAAATTCATCAAGATGTTCATTAATGTGCGTACCTTCTTTGATCTTGAGTGTGTACAACCGTTGCTTCAGATACAAGCGGTTGGCGAGATACTTTTTCATATATAAACTCTCTAACTTTTTTCATAACCCTTCGACTTTGTCTTCATCGATAACCTCGCGAAGAACTTCATCAGCAAGAGACAACTGAATTGCATTGTGTGTTTTTTCTTAAATATCAACAACTTTAGTTTGATCTGTCTCCTTGGATAAAGTTCCATCAATAGCCTTTGCCAAACCCTGTTGACGAAGCAATGCCTTCATCTTGATCTGCTATAAATTGAAATTTTTTTGACCATCAAATTTTTCTATCTCGAATTTTGCGGTAGCCATCCCGAAACCAATAGCTCTGATACCAATTTGTTATAAACAAAACCACAAGCAAAATAATAACGCAACGAAATAGAAAAATAGAACACAAAGATTTACGTGGTTCGGCTCAACAAGCAAGCCTACATCCACGAACAAAACACAACGTCAAAATTTCACTATTGAAAAGTTGGAGATTACAAGGTTCTCAGAACAAATCAACGAGAAAACTAGATATCTGCTCTATTCCAATAATAAAATATTTATTGGATTTAACAAAATAGAGCAATATTAATTTATCACACACAAATAAAACTCTTGTACCGTCGTCAATGGCCAACCCCCAACTCATTAGAGAAGACGTCCTTTTTTTCTAGCTTTTGGACTAAGGAATTTGATTCCTTCACAAAGTTTTCATGCTGAGGAGGTCTCACGTGTAGGACAAAAAATCAAAGACTCCTCGAAGGCTTTGAGTTTAAACAACAAAAGTCCATATTGGACTAAACTCCACTAAAATAATAAAATCAAGATAATCCTAATTAAGGTCAAACTTGTCTATCAAGGACTCCAATGAAAACTCATGTCTTCAATTAGAGTCCATATAAAAAAAATAATTGACTTGAATACAAGTCATCACAACAAATTATTACGAGTTTGTGTCAAATATTAGTCACACCTAACTTAACTCATTTAACTAATTGTGTCGTATCGAGTTACGAGTTGACCTGTTTATTTTGGTGTGGCGTTCGTGTTTGAGTTAATTAAGTTCATGTTATAAAATTCATGTCGACTTTGAGTCGTGTTATCGTGTTGAGTCAAAAATTTTCATCCGTAGCTAAGAAGGAAAAAAATATTTTTTTAATTTTTAATTTTTAATTTTTAATTTTTTTTAAAAATATATATATAAATACATATTTTCTTATTGTATTTTTACATGAAATTAATGTATACATAATATATGTATATATAAAAATATATATAGACAAATAAGATATATTTCAGCACAAATAATTAACTTTACATCCACTTTTGGAGAGATTGATTTTGGTGAGTTGGAAGAAAAGTTAACTCATCAACTTTTTCATCCTTACTATTTTTCTTCATTACTAAACATGATGTTTTATTTATCTCTCTAATTTTCCATCTTTCTAACTTTTCATCTTTCAATTTTTCTATCATACTAAACGGAGTGTAAATGTTGAAAGTGATTATAGATGGGTCTTCATGTGGTGTTAAAGAAAGCATTTACACGAATGATTAATTTTTTTTTTAAAGTTTTACAATATTTGGGAGACCATTGTAGTACTATATACAATCAAATTTAACATCAATAGTACTTTTGAAAAATTTTGTCCAACGTTATCTTTCTTGATCTTGCTATGGATCTCCCCATGGTTTTTATTTTTGATTTTATTTGGGGATTGGAATGTCTTTAAGGTTATGTGGCTCAAATATGTTATTAGGTATACATCACTGTCCATATAATTTGTGAAATCTTTATGAAGTGTTGTTCACCAATGAAGTTATACTCAAAAAAAGGAAATTAATAGCGCAAGATTTTATGAAGCAGAAAACCAAACTATACATAGTGTATACAAATTGGGCTTGCCATGTCCTTCCACGCTATAATCAACGTGTGCTACACAATAGTCGTGGAGTGTTGTTATCTTTCATCCATGAAGTAAGGCACTAACGCTTTTCAAAAATATTTTTTTATTTTTTATTCTTTTTAAGAAAAAGTAAAAAAATAGTGTTTGTTTTTGCATTTTAAAAAAAATTAAAAAAGAAAAATAAAAAAAAGAATATATTTTTTCTAGAAGCAATAACATATTTTTCACAAAAAAAACGTAAGCATACATTAATACACTAAAAACACACACATACACATACTAATACACCAAAAAATATATATAAACACACACTAATACAACAAAACATACATACACAAACTAATACATCAAAAAATATATATACACACACTAATACAACAAAATACACATACACTAATACGGCAAAATATACCCCCCCGACACACTAACCTATTAAAAAAATACAGTAATACAACAAAATACACCCCCAACATACTAACATACTAAAAAATATACAGTAATACTTCGAAATACACACACACATACACTAATATACCAACACACAAACATACACAAACACTAACACAATAACATACAAACTAATACACCAAAAAAATACACACACACACTAATACACCAAAAAACACCCACCCACACACTAATACACCAAACTACAACCACACACACACATGCACTAAGGTGTTGTTTAATAAAATTGAAACTTGAATTTTAAGTACTAAATGTTAAATTTTTTAATTTGTAAACTGTTTGATCTCTACTAAAATTTAAGCACTGAATTGAATTAAACTGTTTGATAAATATAGAGAGCTGAAGTTAGACAATAAATTACCAGATAAAGAACAAAAAGAGCAACGTGGACTTATCAGAGAAAGTCTTCTCGACATGGGGGTTATCTTCATCTATAGCAGGTAACTTGCTTAGAATATAAGGGTCGAGCTCAAGCCTAGCGAGGTTCTTCGGAGTTACAAGCTCCTTGTAATTCCTCATGCTACACTTCCCATCAAGAGCTACTCGGATCTCTTAAGACCGAGTCAATGTAGGTATGTACCTTGCAAGTCAGAGCATAAGCAAGTCAACAACAAAAATACGAAATGGGGGAGAAAGTAGAACACTCCAGTTGTATTGAACTTACCCAACTTGTTGGGCTCGTCACAAAGTCTTAGAAGACGGCGAAGATCTTGAGGATCCCCCTCAAACTCCCAAGCATTGCTAGAAACAAAGAAGAAATACTCTTTCCAACCCTTATGAGAAGTTGGGGCCCCGACGATAAGGCTCCTTGCTTTAACCTGTTTGATGAAATAAAAGAAGCCATCGAAAGGAGAGTACTTCAGGTGGAAGAAATGAAGGAGCTTGAATATTGTGGGGGTAGAACTGAGATCATTATCTCAATCGTTTGGAGACATCCTGGGGGGACAGATGTTGAAAAAATGAAGGACAACTCAGATGAAGGGATTCATGGAAATCTTAGGCCAGCTTCAAAGGCTAACACGAAGAAACAAGTTTTCCCTAAAAGGTATATATTGAATTGGTCCGCGTTGGTGGGGATGAATATCTCAACTCCCTTGGGAAACTGGTAGAGCTCCTTAATAGCTTGAGCTCTACTCTTAGTTATATGACTCCTGATTAGAGTGACACTCGAACCTAGGACGCCATGGGCTCTACCTGAGGAGCTAGCCTTAGACGGTGTGGGACTCTTTTTCTCTTAATCACTTTCTTTCTATTTCCCTTCTTAGGCACCATCTCTGTAGGCATGGCTTCGGGATAGGTTGGCAGCTCAGTCTTTTGAGAATTGGCCTTGTCAGCACGAACCAAGGCCAAGGGGCTATCGTCCTCCTCTAAATCAACTACTTCCTTATGAGGAGGAGACTTATCCTTAGAGTCAACGGGTCCTTCAAATGTCACTGAGATAGATGAGGGCGTAATACAAGAAAAAGGGAACATGCCACTAGCTCGGGGAACTGATTAACCCTAATTAAGACATAATTTAATAGGTAAATTGTGTTAATTGAATAAAGTTAAATTAGTCAAAATAAATCAAATTAGAATTAGTATGTGAATAAAAGATAATACATTAATTGTTGTTCTTTTCAGGATTTTGTGCGTCAAAGCTACAAACTACTGGGGAGCTAATTGCATTAAAGCTACAAACTACTTGGGTGCTAATTATCAAAGCTCAAAACAAAGGGGGATCAAAGAATTCAAGGCCACCTAACAAGATTTTAAAGTCCACCTAACAAGATTTAAGGCCACCTAACAAGACTTTCACCCTCCCTTGTTGCCTATAAATACCACCCCTTAGAACTTGTAAAACATTCATCTTTTGGTAGTGGAAAACCCTCCAAAAGTGTTATTGCTTTCCTTATTGCTTATAGCTTTCTTTAAGTATTGCTTTCTTTTATTGTATTCTTGCTTCCTTTTAATTTATTGATTTCTTTTACTTTAAGTATTGTTTTCTTTTATTGTGTTATTGCTTTCGTTTACTTCCATTGCTTGAGCTTCCTTCTTCCCTTAGAGGAGTGAAACTATTCCACTTTTCTAGAGTTTTACCAAAGCTGTGAAGGGTGGAACATGATTCACTCATTCTTTGTCGAAAATCGGCTCTTTGTGTAAAATGTGTTACCTTGTAACTCCTCTACTTTGAGGGATGAGCATCACTCACTTTTCTAGTTTTAACAAAGCCATGAAGAGTGAGTAGTTTCTCATCCAATCTTTAGTAAGAGGTGGTTATCCGGAAGTTAAATTTATGCAATTCGTTTATGCTTAGCTTTAGTCTTTATTTTTTCATAATGTTTTCTCATCATATTGTTGTCTTTATTTTAAACATGAATAGCTAAATCTCTTAGTTGGCAAAACCAAGAGGAACCTCCACTTGGGTATACCATTTCAACTCATTCTCCTCTCCTCTTTCAGAGTTTAATGGTTTGGTTTGACTGGGTTGAGGGTGGATAACTTGGTGAGTCTTTGATATTCCATAGGCCTAGTCACGGTTTATGCTTAGATACTCTCCAATCTTACCCCTAGCTTTCTACGAATCAATCGTTCATTCATGCTCTATTGGAGGAGGGTTTTGAGTTGAGACAGTATTCTTATTGGAGTGACCTCTTGGATTTGCCAACATTTTGTTTCTCATTTTACTAGCATCAAAACAACTTCACCAAACAACTTCCAACAATCAAAGATTTTACACTTTCTTTCTCCCAAAATCACCTTCCTCTCGGTTTACTTCCTTTCCCGTGGAAACGACCTTGGAATACCACCAAGTAAAACATGATCCGCGAAAGGCTCCTTGCGCTTGGGGAGCACTTTTGTTCACACATACTCACATTTGAAATCTCATTCATCCACCATTCTATTGCCTTTTCTTTTGACATCATCCCTAGGAGAGTGACACTCCCTTTTATTCATATATTATACATGCTAAAAGGTGATGTTTATAGGTTAGGAAACAACAAGAAAATTTGTCAAGTATTTTTGGCGCCGTTGCCGGGGAAGGCAAGTGTCAAACCAAGAAGGTGATTTTTGGACGATGGAAGTCTCATGATCTTCATCATGGGCTGAGGTACGTTATTCCGTGTACATAATCTTGTTTGTGTATAACTTTGTTTATATATATTTTGTTTTATGTGGAGGCGGAACGATCGAAACTGATTTGTTAGACAAAATTTGACCCCTACCATGAATATTGACCAAGAACAACCCGAGGATGCGGGTGACAATTTTGACAATATAGGAGCAAATCCAATTGTCCAAAGGAGAGCAAATCCAAATGTCCAAAGGGGTGGGGGACCACAAGAACCCCAAATACCCAATTCAAGAATGAATTTTTTTCTCTCCCGTGAAAAAGGGGAATAATTTTCAAATGGATCCCTCGGTGAGGTCAATGAGGGATTTCCTACAACCAACACGAAGCACCACACCATCATGCATCCTCCTTCCGGTCCAAGCTCATCTTTTCATAGTTAAGCCATGGATGTTGCAACTAATTCCCACGTTCAACGGATTTGAAACTCAGAGCCCCTATTCACACATAAGGGATTTTGAGGAAATGGTTGCAACCTTCCTCCCCAATCATGGGATGGAAGAGATAGCTAGAATGAAATTGTTTCCCTTTTCCCTGAAAGACAAGGCAAAAACGTGGCTTATTTCCTTAAGGCCTCGAACCATCACATCGTGGAGCCAAATGATTTCTGAGTTTTTGAACAAATTCTTTCCGGTGCATAAAACCATTGTCCTAAAAAAGTAAATTCAAAACTTTTCAGAAAAGCTCAATGAGCAATTATATCAATGTTGGGAGAGGTACAAGGAATTGCTACAATCCCTTCCACATCATGGCTTTGAACCATGACAATTGGTGAGTTTCTTTTATGAAGGAATCACACCGGGCCATCGACAGCTCATTGATATGATGTGTAATGGGGAGTTTTTGAACAAAGACCCTGATGAGACCTTAGATTACTTTGATACATTGACACAAAATGCACAATCATGGGATATTACAGATCCCACCGATGTACCAAGGTCTTCTCCTCAAAAGACTGGCCAAACTCAAGGGAGAGGGATTTATGATTTGAGAGACCGGAAAGACTTGTTTTCAAAAATTGCTAAATTGTCAAGGAAAGTTGAGAGTTTTGAAGTCAATAAGAGACACGAGGTGTCTAATGTGTCACGAATTGAGGAGGGTTGTTCAATTTGCGAATGTATGGAGCATTTCCTATCGAATTGCCCAAACATTCCGATCCTTAAAGAAGCGTACCATGAAAAAGTTCATGCATTCAACCAAACGAGGCAATCATTTTCTTCCAATTCAAATACTTACAATTCGGGTTGGAGTAATCACCCAAATTTTAGTTGGAGAAATGAAAACCTCATTCCTCATGGTTCAAGTGCATATGCATCTCCCATGCCTCCCAAGCAAAACTAATACCATGGCCAAGGGCAAGCATCTAGCTCTCAATACCCCCCGGACCAATCCACAAGGGTATTTGTCAAACCCACCACCATAGAAATTTTCACCAAATCCACCTCCACAAAATTTTTCTCAAGGACCGTCCAATCCATCCACATACCAACCTCCTCACAAAAGGAATTTGGAGGATATGGTCCATTCCTTCATTCAAAGCCAAACCGCCATCAATAACCAAAATGCCACAGCCATCAATGATGTAAGAGCCCAACTCACAAAGTTGACAAACTCCATAGGGGCATCTCAAAAAGAAAAGGGGAAGTTCACCGCTCAACCACAAGAGAACCCTAGGGTTCAACACCTTGTTGAGTCATCGGAACCTTCAAAAAAGAGTTGCGAGCAACTCAAAGCTGTCACCACCCTCCGCAGTGGCAAAGAAATTGACAAAACCATTTTGCCAACGGTCTCACCCAAGACCACATTGTCAAAAGAAAAAGATCTCTTGGGTGATGCCGACAAGAGTGAGGTGCCTGAAGAGAAAGAAAGAGAGGTTGTTAAGAAAGGAAAATTAATTGATGATTGTGTGTTTATTCCTCCCATGCCTGCCCCTTTCCCAAGTCGTTTGAAGCCACCTGTCAAGGTGGCTAATTATGCTGATATTTTGGAAATGTTTAAGCAGGTGAAGATTAACATTCTACTCCTTGACGCCATCAAGCAAATTCCATCATGTGCTAAGATTTTGAAGGACTTATGCACGGTGAAGAGAAAATTGAATGTCCACAAGAAAGCATTCCTCACCGAGCAAGTGAGCTCAATTTTGAGGACTAACACTCCTCCCAAATTTAAAGACCCCGATTGTCCAACCATAGCTATCACCATTGGAAATTATCGAGTGGAGCAAGCACTCCTCGATTTGGGGGCAAGTGTGAATCTTCTTCCCTACTCGGTGTACCAACAGCTGCAGCTGGAAAGTTGAAGCCCACCTCAATCACACTTCAATTGGCGGATCGTAGTATCCGTACACCAAGGGGAGTAGTTGAAGATGTCTTAGTTCAAATTGATAAATTTTACTTCCCTGTCGATTTCATTTTGCTTGATACACATCATGTTGTAAACCTTAGCTCCCAAATTCCCGTAATACTTGGAAGACCCTTCCTTGCTACATCTAATGCCGTGATAAATTACAGGAACGGTCTAATGAAGTTGGCATTTGAAAATATGACAATGGAGCACAATGTATTCAACTTGACAAAGTAATCGGGTGATGATGAGGAAGTAAGTGAGGTCAATAGAATCGACACTTTGGTTGAGGAGCACTTGGAGCTGGAGGGGATATTGAAATTTAAGGAAAAAGGAATTGTGGATCTTGAGAATTATGATGAGCAAGAGGAGGTAGAAGATTTGAAAGGGATGGAAAGGTGGATCCCTACATTCGAAGAGTTACCCCATCGAGAAAAGAAAATTTTTTCGTCGGATGAACAAAGCCCAACTTGGAGTTGAAGCCCTTGCCCACCCATTTGAAGTACGCCTATCTTGGGGAAGGTGAAACATTTTCGGTGGTCATTAGCTCTACATTAAACATGGAACAAGAAAAAGAACTCTTGGAGGTGTTGAGAAAACATAAAGGAGCAATTGGGTGGACCATTGCGGATATCAAGGGGATAAGCCCTCTCATTTGCACCCACCGCATATATCTTGAGGAGGATTCCAAACCTTCCCGACAACCACAAAGGCGGTTGAATCCCATCATGAAGGAGGTGGTAAGGGATGAGGTTCTGAAACTACTTGATGTGGGGATCATTTTTTCAATTACCGATAGTAAGTGGGTTAGCCCCACGCAAGTAGTACCTAAGAAATTCGGAGTTACGGTGGTTGAGAATGATGAGAATGAGCTTATTCCTACAAGAGTAATCACCGGATGGAGGGTGTGCATTGATTATCGAAAGTTGAACGCTTGCACAAGGAAAGACCACTTTCCATTGCCATTCCTCGATCAAGTTCTAGAACGAGTAGCGGGGCATCTATTCTACTGTTTTTT